CCAGTTTTATGGGGACACTCCGCAGTGACCTTTTCGGGCAACATTCTTGTATTCGGGGGAGTTGATGTCTCTAAAAGGAAATAAGTTGGAGATATTGCAATGAGGAATATTCACAAAAAATACATGGCACTGGGTTGATTGCCCTTGACCATTTCCTTCTTCTATGCATAAAGCAGTAGTGGTTGGAAAATACGTTAATAGTGACAAGGAGAACACATGTATGCTTGTGTTCGGTGGGATTCAATTTTCTACGCTAGAACCAATTTCAGAGTTGAGGGGATTTGATTTGCAGAAGGGAAAGTGGTATATTGTACATGCAAAAGGTGATGTTCCTGGAGGCAGAATAGGACATGTCTTACTCTCCTGCTCGAGTGGTGCTACAATAATGGTTGGTGGCGTAATCAGCACTCTTGATGGTTCTGTGCAGGATAATAGCCTGTGCATTTACCATGTGCGAACACAGCACTGGAAAAGAATAGCATTGAAACAGAGAAGTGAGCCTTTTTCAAAACGAGGGAAAAGCGACGGCCCCTGTCTCCCGTATACAGGGGAAAAACACATTGTCTTCGGTTCGAATGTATGCAGGGTGAAATTCATTGGGCGAGCTTATGATGATGACAAAGACCATCTGACAAATGAGACAAATACACCGAATATGGAAGGTGAGTTAGCACGCTTACAAAGATAAAACGATATTATGTTTTAAACTCTACATCGTAGTAAACCAGGCACTTTGGATCAAAACTCTACCGAAGGACGGGCGCNCACCTCTTTCTCCGGCTGCATACAACGCAACTGATGATCACCCACACCGACGTGCCCGACAAAGGTGATCAAGTGGAAAGGTATTGGCTGCTGTGGGTGAGGAGTATACGAGTGACGAGGTAGAAAAGCTTCCACAAAGAAGCCATATTGATATTTTCTCACAACAGAGTGATGAGGAGGTTTTGAGAAGCCTTGGTGAACTCAAAAAAGTGGGTGGTTTTTGCGTGGAGACCAGATGTGGATTTGTATAAAGAATACATAAGTGGATTCTTTCCGAACACAGCCTCCTATGTATCATCTGTACTTATTGAGAAGCTCTTCGGCCCCGGTTCTTCGGGGCGGCAATCCTGATACGGCCTCTTACCGCATCATTAA